GTTTTACTATTCATTATTTTATTAAAAATATTATTTTAATCTTAAACATATCTGATCTTACTCTACACCAACGTGAATGGCTTATCCCTTTGTTACTATTCACTTTTACTATTCACTTTTTACTATTCACTATTCACCTTTTACTATTCAAAAAAAATCCTAAATAAGTTATCAAAAATTTGAACCTCTCTTTCTAGAATTACTATAATTTTATATCCAAAATTTAAATTTTTCTATCCATTATTATTACTAATAAAATGCTAAAATTTACTATTATAAATATTTTTCATGAGTCTCACAAATTAAGCTACCAAAATTTCTTATTAATCTTTCCACATTTTATAAACTTATTATATTTTCCATTCACAAAGAAATTTATTACTACTAGTAATAAAATTATTACTATTAAAGTAAATATTTTTCCTGGGTCTTACATTTATGATAAAAAATAATTTAGGGCAAGTATATCTTTAGATTTTTTATTGATATTTTTAAATAATTATCTTATTTAACTATATCAGTAAATATAAAAAATAATATTTGCCATTTTAATGTGACAAAATCTTCTTAAATATTTTTAAATTTTCATAACAACCAAAGATATCTTGAAAATATTGGATTTATATAGCATTGGAGGATATTATATTATCAAAAAGAAGATTACATAAAAAAAAATCCAAAACAAAACTCAATCCAATTTCTATATAGAAAAACTTAAAAAAAACACGTTAAAAAGAGCTTAGGAACCTTTTTGGAACCTAATTTTTCTTCTATGCCATCTTTCATGTTTTTTTGCTGTATTCTCTTCTATGTAGAATTGATTCTGTTATAATTTTTTAACGATATTATAATAAAATAAATTAATTTTTTCATTTTTATTTTTGTTGTGATTTATTTTATTGTATAAATATATTTGTTTATTATGAATAGTTATTTGAGGTTAAAAGATTAATTATTTAAAAATAAAATTGAATAACATTTACGCACATTAAAAGAGTAAATTTCTATTATTACTCTTTATATATATATATATATATATATATATATATATATATATTTAGTTTATTTAGAATTTTTTATGAATTATTTCTTTTAATATAAAATATTAACTCATCATAAGATTAAAACGCATATAAATATTTACAAATCCATGTGTTTCTATAACTTTTAGTCTATTTCGATGTTGATCATTCTTATTTGTATCATTATCTCGTCTCGTGTAACGCACAATTATAGCATATAAAGTAATAATATAAGCTAGCATATTTTTATAAAACATAATCATTTCTAATAATTAACTTTTTGAGAACCAATGTCCTCTCACATATTCAACAACCATATAAGAATCATTAATAAAATAGTAATTACTACTAACAACATATATTCTACTCCCGGTTTGAATTAACTTCGTATATTTTCTAAATTTTCTCTCTTTACTATGCACTAATACAAGATAATTTAGTCAAAAAAAATGTTTGGATGAGTTTTTAATACAATAAATTTTCACTTTTAATATTAGATTTAATTAATTATTTGATCCTTGTTTTCATTCAAAAATGTTAAGTTGGTCTTATAATATTTTTTTAATCTCAATTTGATCTTATTTGTAAAAATTGATTTAATTTGGTCCTAATTTGTAAAAAATTAATACAATTTAGTCTTTTTCATTAAATTTTTTAAAACAAATTAAAGATTTTGCATCAAAATTGAAGATGATAATAAGAATGATTTGTTTTGTTAATGTAATTATAATAATCCATGTGAATGTTGATGAAAAATCATTGATCTACATCAAATTTTCATAAATCAAGACCAAATTACTTTGATTCTCACAAATTAAAATCAAATTAAGACTTAAAAGACTGGAGGGTCAATTTAACATTTTTGACGAAAATATAAACTAAATAACTAATTAAAATTTAATATTATCAATGAAAAGTTATAACTTTGAACCTTTTTATGGTAATGAATTATACTAATGGAGAGTTGGACACTAAACTTAAATTAATTACCTAAAAAAAATAAAAAATAAAAAATGGTTTTATTTTTCTATATTTAAATTAAACCTAATTATAGTCTTTTATTAACTATTGTTAGTTTGGATTTTTTTTTCTAAAGGTCAAATTTTCTCAAATATTACAAACTCATAATTTTTCATCCAAATACTCTAGAGTCATATAACATAAATCGTTAAAATCTTAAAGACATTAAAATCTCAACCACAATATGAATCATTAATATCTTTCAAATTATTTATTGACATGGATAAAAGGACTTTCTATAATCACAATTCATTACCAACCATGACGAGTTCTAAAATTTCTAAATGTCACAATGACAACATCTTCTGTGTTTGTGTTTGTTTCCAAACGTAAGCTACGTCACAAGCTGTCAAAAGTGTGGACATCTCTCTCATGCTGTTGATACAATGACAACATAATGTGAGACCATGTCAGCGATATCATCCATTATGAAACCCCTCAAACATATTCATACAAAACAACAAATTTAGCTCATTACCTTAGATTAATTACCATGATTTCATGACTAATTATATTATTATATGTAAAGTATTAACTTTAGCATTAAACAGTTTTAGCAGCATACTTGATGTTATTTAATTAGCAGAGTGCAGAAAAATCTCCACACAAACATAAAAAGTTAAACTCGTAAAAGGCTTTGCCAAACTTAGAAAATAAATGATGTTTTGTGAATGACAACATAGTGAATCCGTGACATGAGGCCTTGATGTTTATATATAAAGAAAGCTGCTGGTCCAAGAAAGTGAATCTGTTGTTTTTCTCATCAAATGTTTCAGTCAAGTCATAAGGTTTATCTCAGAGGAGTGAATCTGAGAACACAAAGCTGGTTTGCAGTTCATATCATCATTTGTTGGTATTTTGGTGAATTTACTTTGTGTTCTCAGGTCACCCCTTTGAGCCAACCTGTTGACATTCACCAAAAGGTGAATCCTTCTTCCTAAGTTTCTCATCTTTTACAACTTATCACATGTTTTCAGATTTCGGGAAATGTTGCAGAGGTTGTCTTTCTGTACGGTATAGAAATCAATGTTGTCACTTTTGCATTTCATTTTGTATGTTTTTCTTCTACAGCTCTCTTTTATTGGAGAAAAAAAGTGGATTCTGTTCTTTTCAATCAAAGGGAGTTGTAGGGGAAAAACATAGAAAATGCAGAGTAAAAATGATATCATTGTGATATAGAAGTGCTTGTGGTTGCAGCTATTTACACAGTTTTTGAAGAGAAAATGACCCTATTGTGTGAATTCTTATATACATCAGTTTTAGGAACGCAAAAAGTAGAAGATTCCATTGGCAAGATAAGACTCACCACGTCTTCTTTTTTTTCTTCAAGTTGATGGTACTGATTGTGTTTAACTATGGTATAAATTGGTGGTTCTTTCTATTTTTGTGTTTATTTTGGTGCAGGAAAATTAAGGACAATGGAAAGTTAAAATACAAATGTAAGCAATTTTCAACAAGTTCTTCTCTTGAAAAAGAAAAAAAATGCTGGGAAGAAATTAAGTTGTCTCAATTCTAAAGCTTAAGTGCTTAATAATTGATGTGGCAATGTTGGTGGAAGGCATTTCAAGTACAAAGAAAGCATAAAATTGAAGATGATTTTTTTCTTTCCTGGTGTATTGTAAATGTTTCATCTCAAAATAATATAATTTAAATAAGATATGAATAATAGGATTGAGATAGTATTTCTATCATTCATTTTTAGTTCAATGATAAAGAAATATTTTGTATCATAAAGGAGGAAAAAAAAGATACCAATCTTGTGTACCAAAATCTTTCTTGCTTTTAGTTTAAGTTAAATCCTCCTTTAACGTTTATTCAAAGATGCTATAAATATAGTCTATTTGTGTATAGAAGGAGACCACGTATTAGAATTTTAGAAGGTTGTCTCTTTTTTTTTTTTGAGATACTTGTTCTCACGAATTTTTTTTGACTTAATTAAAATAGTGTATTGATACACGTAGATTGGATCTAACAAAAAGACTAATTCCCAAAAAATTAACTATGGGAAGCAAATAATAATAATAATAATAATAATAATAATAATAATAATAATAATAATAATAATAACATATTACACTTAATAGAAAAGGTATTAAAATTCAAATTACAATATTAGATTATTTTTTTATTAACACTTAACAGAAAAAAAAAAATCAAATTCGTTTTCATTTAAAATAGTGTGTCAAAAAAAATTGTTTTTTAATTTTTATTTTTAAATGGTCTATAAACTAATTTGAATTTATAGAAAATCTATTTTATTCCTTTTAAAAAGTTATTATAAAGAGGTTCATCCAATATGTTGTTAAGCTCGTAAATCTTAATGATGTTAGTAATCGTGTGATACAAGATACTGATTAGAAAAAATGCATTTTTGGTTAATGAGATGAAATTGAATCTTGAAATAAAATCAAATACTACATGTAATTAAGAATGTATGTAACTCATCATAACTAAAATGGTTGGTATGTATATTGAAATTTTTAGATTTAATTGTTTAGTTTGTCATTATTTTTATTAGCATGTATCAACTTAATTAGTCCTCATTTTTTGAAAAATTGTTTACAAATTCATTTTATTAATTTTGCAGTTAACATGATGAGATATGTGTTAACTTGTGGAGAAATGATGAAGATTGATGATTTTAATAGATTTTAGTTATATGTTTTGTAGGATAGCTTCTACTTTAGAAAAAGACTTATTGACTCTTTAGAGTTTTTGTTGATATAATTATTTATTATGAATAACTCTATCAATATTTAGTAGTTTAAATTATTAAAAAGATTGTTACAAATATCAATAATTAAATAAAATATTAATCCTTAAAATAAAAGTTACACAGAAATTTTAAAACCAATAAAGTAAAATATAATTCATAATATTAATATGTAAATTTATATCTTTTATAATTTGTGTGTGTATATATATATATTGATTCAGTTTGTGATTTACCTTTTTTTTCGCTTGTGTGTTTGCTACTTAGATTTGAGGAAATCTTCAGTTATTGTCTTTCCGAACATTACTCTCCGAAAAAATATAAAAAATCAATCCCAAATGCATTAGAATTTTGACGTTACAGTGCAGTGGCTCCCAGAGAAACGTGAAAATCAGTGAGAGAAGAAAACGATGGAGATGGAAGTGGACAGCGAGAAGAAGCAAGAATACTTGAAAGAGAAGGACTTGTTCAAAGCAGCTGAAGAAGGTGATGCTGCAACGTTCCAAGCTCTCTCCGCTGAAACTCTCTCCAAAGCGCTCTCTCTCAGAAACGAAGATGCTCGCTCCCTTCTTCACGTTGCCGCCTCTTTCGGCCACTCCCAGGTACCCTTTTGCTCCTTTTCAAAAGGGTCTCCTTGTTTTTCCTTCAATTGTTATAAATGTGCATTCGTTGTGCATTTGCCACCACACTTTGAAATTAGGGTTTTTTGGTTGGTGGAATCGTTGTTTTTATTGTTGTTTGTTTGAATGAATTTGTTTAGGTGGTGAAGACACTGTTATCTTGTGATGGGTCTGCTTGTGTGGTGAATAGTGTCGATGAGGAAGGTTGGGCACCGCTTCACTCCGCCGCCAGCATTGGGAATTTGGAGATAGTAGATACTCTATTGAGCAAAGGTCAAAATAATGCTCTTTTCTAAAGTTTACTCTACACATCGCTTTTTACTTAATTATCATTATTATTTATTCTTTATCTCAATCAGTACCATTTCCCCCTTCAGAATTGAAGTGTAATCTGGGTGGATAAGTTGTTAGTTTCTGTTTACTAAGAATGATGATTGATTTGGTTGGAGATCTCGCATAATATATAGATATGGCCAAATAATACTACATATATGGTTGAAAATCTCATCTTACTAAGTAAGTTTTTTAAGAATGAATTAGATTTAAATTTCATTCTAGTGAAAGGTTTGTTGTGTTTATTGTGTTATCTGTTATTTGGCATTCCTCTATTCACATGTCTAATCATCAGGGGAGTGTTAGAAATCTCACATTTTTTATAGATATGGTCACAACTTCCATAATATGGCCAAATAATAATATATAGATGAGTACAAACCTAGTCTTACTAAGCCGGTGTTAAAAGTTGAGTTAACTTCCTAAGAGATTTGAATGCAACTTTATTGTGAGACTTGATATTAGGAAAGATGTTGTACAATGGTTTTAGGAAAACCGTTCCGGTGACTGTGACCTATAGATGCAAGATTTTTTGGGGTTCTGTGAAGGCATTACAATCATAAGTTCAGCTGCATTGGCCAGTAGTCTACCACATTATCAAGGATTGTGAGGGTAGCAACGATTTAAAACCCTTGGAGCTGGTACTATTTATTTGGTTATAGTTGCTTATTAATAGTCATCTTCTCTATGGTGTTTCTCTGATGTTTGATTTCAATTTCTTAGTATTCTATAATAGAGTTGAGGACTTGATGTGCATCTTTCTCCATGTTCATTGTGTTCCAGCCTTTTACTGCACATTGTGCCCATCTTTTTGCTCTGTTCAGATTGTGGATTAGTGTTGGGAAGCTTTTAAATTTATGTAGTTTTTGTGATGAAAATGGTGGTAACAGTTTGTCGGGTGCTTTCAAGTGTCAATTTTGGATTTCTATTAATTTTCATTTTCTATATCGTTGATTGAATATGTAGGCTACTATTGTGCGCTGCATGTATTTTGTAAATTGTGGAATTGATCTTGAAGAATCACAAGTCTATTGATAAAATGTAGCTCCTGTGTGATAACCTATACCTTTCCAGACTAAAACTTCATTTGCTAAAGATTCATCAATCATCTCAAAAATGTTCTTGTTTCTCGTGTTTGGTAGGAGCTGATGTTAATCTGAAAAATGATGGGGGTCGCTCTGCTTTACACTATGCAGCCAGCAAAGGTTGGATGAAGATTGCTGAAATCCTCATCTCGCATGATGCCAAGATTAATATAAAGGATAAGGTTGTAGCCTGGAATCATTTGATTGGTTTGTAACACTAGTTTCACTGTATCCCTTTTCTTCATAATCGCATTGTTAAAGATAACATGTAGACTAATTTAGTGTATGTATTGTACTTAGATTGGTAGCACTCCATTGCACCGAGCAGCTAGCACTGGTAAATCTGATATGTGTGAACTTTTGATTGAAGAGGGAGCAGAGGTTGACATTACGGACAGAACTGGTCAAACTCCTCTGATGAATGCTGTGATTTACCATAACAAAGAGGTATGCTTATTTTATATGTGAGCATGCACACGTGTGTACTCTGCAATAGCAAAAGTACACATTGAACCATCTGAACAATTTTACTCAGAAATGTGTATATAATTATATTAGATGACAAACCTCCTTTTAATCATGCTTAATGTTTTTGTTTGCATAATTCACATGTACCTTTGTAATAAAGAAAAAGATGTGACTTCTCATTCATTTGTTTGTTTTTTATTAATCCAATGGCTTAATTAGTTTCTTTACAAGTGAATTTTTGGAGGAGGATGCTATGTTGATTGTTCAAAAATCATAACTGAATCGTGAAGTATTTTCTCTTTATTTGATGCACTCTTAACAGATATCTCTCCCCACTCATTTCAAATTAAAATTATGTTTGGGCCTTGCTTGTAGTGCCTGGTCAACAACATTGAAGCATTTAACGCTAGGATGGAGCTGTGTAATGCTAATTGTACTTTGTTAGTTCCTCACCGTTTCTTATTCTGTCATGCTGTCTCACTAGTCACTATCTTTTATTTTTAATCTTAAAAATAGTGGTAAGGGTTTGGTCTTCTAAGTATTAATGAATGCATGCATTCTGCATAGAGGGGAATTCTCATAAAATAAATAATTTTTGGTTCTTATATTAAAAACAAAAGGGTTCATACATATTTGATTCTTACATTTTGCATCTTATTTTATGTAATATTAAATATAAAAAGTTGGTTAGTTGCAATGGCATATAATTTGCTATTCTACTATTAACTGATTTACTGGTTATGTAAGTTCAGCAATAAAGAATGAAAGTTGATACCCAAACATTTTCTAGTCAAGACTCTAATAAACTGCTGCTTTGCTTTTGGCACTTGAAAAAGGAAATTCTGGCTAGTAGTTGTTAGATGTTGGCTATGTCTGACAAAACTAGTCAAGAAACTATCTGGTAACTTGTTATATGGAGTACATTTCATGAATGATGAGGAATGTTTTGATGACAGTTTTGTTATTGGAGTCCTATAATTGTTGAGCATTATACATTAACTCTTGGGGCATAAACCTTTTTGATGTGTATGTTTTACAGGTAGCTCTCCTTCTGATAAGACATGGAGCAGATGTGGATATGGAGGACAAGGAAGGGTACACAGTACTTGGTCGTGCTACAGATGAATTAAGACCTATATTAATCGATGCTGCCAAGGCCATGTTGGAGTAATATATCTGTAAGAAAATGAGAAAATGTTATCACTATAAAAGAGCAGAATTGTGGTAGTTATATTATTGGATTCATTAGTAGTGGTTTTCTGCAAAAACTCAGACCATCATACCACTGTTCAGGCAAAAACTCATCTTTACCTATATATATATATATTTAGTTGTAAAATTTTGTCATCTTTTTAGATTAGAAAGATGTGGAATACCTGTTTTGATATGATTTTATACTAAACACATGTAGAATACATTTGTTTTTTGAGGAGTGCTAGGAATCTTTCTAACAATCTATGTTATTGGTTAAATAATTACTGAGAACTGTGTTCCTTGAATAAGATGAGAAACTAAAAAATTTGTACAAGATAATCCATTTTAACAATAATTAAATATATGTTCAAAAGATTTACTACAAATTGAGCATTTTAATTATGGATAGTTTTACAACTCACAACTAGTTGTTTTTACACAAAAGAAGAAAAAAACACCCAAGTCTCTATTTTTTAACATAATTGGGTTAGTTTGAATTAACTTATTTATTTATGAGATAAAGATGTTTCTTCATAGAATAAAACTAGTTTATATATAACTAATTTTAAGGAACTTATTCATTAGTTTCTTCAAAATCAAAATTTAACTTCTATATAAGCAAGTTTTTGTTTATAGAAAATGTTGTGAACTTGTGGTGTCTCTAACTCGCCTTCAAAGTGAGGCACATGTCGTCAGATTTCCTATAAGTTTTGTAAGATTTTGCCTAAATAAAAAATAGGAAAATCTGGTAGAGTTACTTAACTGAAATCGATAAATTTACTTAACTGAAATCAAATATCGAATAATTTAATTTGGCTATAATATTAAAGTTAATTTAATTATGTAACAACATATTATTTATCGAGTTTATTACAAAATATTTACTATAATTTTTAATATAAATTAGTAATTAATTTTAAGTTATTATAATTTCATTAGGTGTTTAAGTTATTAAAATGAGTGAGGGAGTAGATGCATGTTGGTGCAGTGATGTTGCTCCTTTATAATTGATCCCTCTCCTGGCTTTACATGTGATACTACTGCTAAGTGAGTTTTCTTTGGAATCTTCATTTCTAAAAATGAGTAAATAGAAAATGAAGTATGATATTACTTGGAACTACTATAAAAGTCTTCCGGACTACAAATAAAGTATCAATTTTAGATATCATAAAATTTAATCAATTATAACTAAATAATTAGAAACTATTAAATTATGACTATTGAAACATGTAATATAATATGTTATAATAATAAAATAATAATAAAAATACTAATTCTTTTAATAAAATAGTAATAAAATGTTTGTGGCAGCTCACTTTTTCTTTTTACCTTCTTTTTTCTCTTTTCGATTTTTCTCTTTCATCATTCTTGCTTTTGTTGTGCAACTTCTTCAGTTCAAAGCTTTTCTTCTTCGTTGCTTTTTTTTACCTATGCAACAATCTTTTTCACTTTAAAATTCCGTTTTGTTTGTGTTTTTACTTTCTCTTAGATTTCTCCTATATTAGTGGTTCAGATGTATGGTTGATGTCATCATCTAATATTTAGATAATCATTTATTTTGCTCCAAAATTTTTATATATGTTTGTCTAGTCCCATTTAAAGAGCATCTTTGAAAGATATTTTGATGTTAAAGTTAATTTAACATTTGATAGTTTAGATATTAATATTGTAGTAAATGTTATCACCTAACTCTTTACTTTATCTTTATATTTATATATATTTTAGAGTGGACATTTGATTAACAACGACCTAACTGTGATCCAATTGGTGGTAATTGTTTTTTACCTTAAGTTAATCAACATTAGAGTTAATCTCTCCATCAACTGGTTGTTCGACCTACCTCCTAGGTCGTGCAATCACAATAATGGTTTGTGAAGGAGTCTCACTAATGGTTGATTGTTCGGTCTGTGGCTGATAGGATGGTCATACGATACATAGACACACCAAGCCCAAGCCTATCATGATAAGCGAAGGTGTTTGTAATGGGATGAGACTTTTGCCATTCGATCTCTTTTGAAGTAACCTCAACCCTGGTCGCTCATCTGGTTGGCCTTTAGACCGTTCAATTGAGCAGTTAACGATTTTCAAAATTTTGAAACCTTATTGTTGAGGGAAAGACGTGTGGCACTTCCAGCCTTTCCCTGATAGGAATTCGCAGAGTTTGATGTTATGAGTCATTGGATTTGGCTTGATCCAATGGTTGAGAATGACTAGCGGGGAGGTGCCTTTTCGCTATAAATAGGGGTAGGTCTTGCTTGTCATTTTCACCTTTCCCTTTAACTTTTCTCTTTCAACCGATTGTCCAACTTTTCTTTGTCTTTCAGGTAATATTTTCGACTATTGATTTGTCATCTGAGGAGTCCGTGAAGAGGGGCGACCGAAGGTATGATGATGACACATTGTCGTCATCAGTGTCATTGTCGGTTTCTTCTTCGATTTTATTATCAACCGAGTGAGAGTCAAACTCGGTTGACAATGTAGATACTAATAAGGTCTCTCAGTCGCTTTTGTCGAGTCTGATGTGACATTAGAAATTAATGTGGCCAATCAGGGGGATGTGGTTGCTTAATCGCTTTCGATCGTGGCAAGCTATAATTGGGTGTCCTATGAAGTGAGATAGTATGTCACCTGCTTCCGCATGGGGAACCAACTGCAATGGCTTGCCGAGCAAGCTTGCTTTGTCAAGTCCTCTATGGATGCTTAGAGCTTCAACCTCATTATTTGTAAAGGGAATGAGAAGGTGGTCCACGAAATGGAGGGTAGCTCTAAAGACTTTTTCTTCATGTACATGTGTCTTTTCAAAGACCTTCTCATTCGTTTTTCATTCGACGACTTTCAAATGGATGTGCTGAGGGAGCTTAACCTAACGCCAACTCAACTTCATCCGAACAGATAGACTTTCATGTAAGCATTTGTGGTTTTATGCACTACTCTGGTCATCATTCTCACTCCCCCATCTTTCTACACTTCTTTTGTACACAACCCAACGTCCATACATATCCCATTTTCTTTTCATGTATTTAATTATTGGTGATATTTAAAATCAGTGTATAAATATTAGTTTAATTATTTTTAATCTGAAATTTAGGATAATTCTAGTTTTTATCCTCAAATTTACTTTTTTAAGTCTCTTAAAATTGAAAAAAATATATATATTTCAATACCTAAACAGTAAATTGAAGGGGCTAAAACAAGTTTAAAATCAAAATCTTAAACTTTTAATTCTAACCTTCAAACATTATCATTTAGTCTCCTAAATTTAATGTTGAAAGAAAAAAAAACTTTATTTTTAAATTTAGGAGACTACAAAAATTATCTCAAACATTAAGAACTAAATGAATAATTAAATCTTAGTTTTTTTCTTGTAATCTTGCCTAATTAATTTTAAATATTTTATAAATGTAATATTTACATAGTTTTCAATTTAAACATTGTAAATTCAATATGATCTTATTACATAATCTATTTGACTTCTTTACACAATTTTTAAGTGATAAAATTTTAAAGAAGAAAAATAAACTTAACAACATCATATCTACTTTATTATTATATTATTATTATTTAATTTTTTTAATAAGATATTAATTATTAATGAAAATTTAAGTTTAGTTAAATAAAAACATAAAAATTACCATATTAAAAAGTGCACTAGTTTAATAGTTAAAGCAAAATATACCAGAGTAAAAAATTAAGATAACATAAAATAGATTATATAAGGAAGCAATATGAGCCTTCTGTTTCTGCTCTCCCTTATCTCATTTGCCTTTTCCTTCTCAGTGTTCTGCAGAGAAGGGAGAAGCCAACCATGGTTTCCACTTCACTACCCTCTTTCATTCAGATCTCATCCACAAATTCCTCTTTCACTGAAAAACTCAGCATCCCTCAAAACAAGTTTCAAATTAGAATATCTACAAGACACACACACTCAATTTCTTTGCCTTTTCCTTCTCTTCCTTCATGCAAAGCACTTCAAAACTCAGTTCCTTTTGCTGCTTCACTTGCCATTCTTCTTTGGTCAACCCCTGGTAGATTCTAGTACCATGTGATGCTGCTTTTTGATGTATTATGTTGTCTCATTATGTGCTGTTGTGTTGGCTCAAATTTCATTCATTGGGCAAAGCATAAACATGCTAATTACTAACTGAAAGTCTGAGCATTTTCATATTCTGCAGCAAATGCTGGATTCATGTCTGGAATTTCTGGTCTAGAGGCTGTTCCTGGTCCTCAGCTACCACAGATTGACTTTCTCAAAAATCTCAACGGTCCCAATTAACTTGAACTATTGTGCTTCTGTTTTCTGAAATCAGCTCAAATTGATGAAACTGTAACTGGGTTCATCATTTCTGTTTTGCAGATGAAAACCAGAAGAAATATGCAGAGAATGATGAAAGAATTAAGTCTTCTCCTTTGCTGAAGAAACTGCTTGAGCAATCCAAGTTGAATAAAGAGAAGTAATCTTTTTATTTTAACTGCGTGTGTTATTTGCAAAGTCAAAACCTAATGATGCTGCAATGGACTATATAGATGGTCAATGATAATTGAGCTTTTAAATGCGAATGCAGTTTCTGTGACAACATCAATTTTTCTGTGTTTTCTGTGACTGTATTTCATTTACATTTGAGACTGCATTGGCCACAATTGTTTGCTGTAGAAATGTTAGCACACACTCTAGTATAGTATTTTGACACTAAACTGTGTAGATTTTTCTCCTTATGTAGTAAATTTTAGACAATAATCATAGAATGAGTTATCAACCAAATGGTTCAAGGTTTGAAACCTAATGTTAGTCATGTGATGAATGATTAGTAAATTACTTCTTCTCTTTTTCAGTTTCTTTCCATGTTAAAATTTAGGACAAAACCCTTATGACTGCAATACCTTAATGATTACAATGACTTGTTGGCTCAAAAAATACTAACAAAATAATACGTATTATGTTTCGGGTATGGATCGAGTATCTCTACTAATCACATATTCACGCTTTGCTTCAAATTTGCTTTGGTAATTCTGAATGTCTTTTATCAAACTTTTCCTCCTTCACATTCCAAACCTTCTCGAAATATCTGTCAAAGTCACTCTGATGCTTAAGTTAGTAATTATATTAATTGATGGTTAGAACAAAGTCTTAAATTTACGATAAATATCATCATCTACCTCTTATCTTTGATCTCTATTTATAATTTTTGAGATGAGTTTAGGATTAGTAAAACTCTAATCATGGTCTCATCTTGATCCATTATCTACTAAGTAACACTTATTCTTAATATTGATTTGTAACGGTTCTTTAGAGATGTTTAGCATCCGTTTGGTCTCTATTCATGTCTGGCCGCTTGGCCCTCGTGTCCTTTATCTGAATTTCATAGGTTTAGACGTATCTAATCCTAATTATACGCCGTCTAGCCATACAGTACATATTATATAATGAATTCAACTTTCTTCTTTAACAAAATACTGACAACTAACATTTTCCGATAAACTGTTATATTTTTCTTTATGATTTTGTTGCATCTATTGTCATGAAGAAACAATAACACTTTGTTGCTCTTCAGGAACCGTAAAGAAATTGAGAACAAGTACTGCATAAGAGGAGCAGAATGGGGAGTTGGAGATTGTTCTACAGAGGGAATGTCTCCAGCTGAGAGGGACAAATTCATAGCTATGTTGAAGCAGAAGGCTGGAGTAGAGTAACATGATCATACAGAGAAGAAAAGATAAATGAAAAAGGTTTCATATATAAATTATAAACATGTGTACAACTTTTATCATTTAGAATTGTACAAGGTGAAGAAACAATTAGGCCTATTGCAGATTTCATAACTTGTTCTGAATCCTTCCCACATGATTTATTTATGTGAATTTTTCAGAAAGAAAAACTCATACATCTTCTTGATTCCTACATTAGATGGTTTAATATGATTTTCCTTTATGCTTGTTGTGTTACCAGCATTCTTGTGCAGGTTTATCACATCCAAAGTGAGTAGACTGTTGGTAAAATCTGATAAGCATTCTAAGAACAGAAAGTAATAAAAACCATATAGTTCAAAAGCTTTCAGAAATTACACACTTTCTGAATGTAAAAAGTTACCATGATGCAAAATTCAAAGTTGAAGGAAAGTGAAGAAGGCATAATAAAGAATCCTAATAAGCTTATAGTTATAAAGCATTTAAGCATGAAAATATAAGCTTGCAATTGAAGAGAACTTATAACAATACATAACTCGAAAGTACCAAGAAATAAAACCAGATAAAATAAGCGTATTTATAATCTTAATACAACTTCAATTAACAAAATAAAAATAACAACAACAAATCAATGAGATGAGTAGAGTATTGATTAATGTGTTAAATTGACCTACTAACAAAATGTTCAATAAGAAAACAATGAACCAATTAGTATATGAGAAGTCATAACCAGAAAAAAAAAAAGATACAAATAATAATTGATTATGAAAAAAAATAAAGATAACTAAACAAAGTTATATGATTTATTGAGAAAAAGTTGTCAACTCATTAAATATAATTCTTAATACCAATAAAAATTAATAGTCACTCATAATTATTTACTTAAATTTTATAACAAAATTTTATAGTTAATTTAATAAAAATATATTAGTACTAAAATAAAATTATTTTTAAGGTCTTTTTTTCTAAAACTCTTAAAACAAGGTTTTATCTACTTAGACCTTAAAGTAAACAAATTCATCACTATCAAATATTTTATATATATATATATATATATATATAATATTAAAGATAATTTCATATCAACTAAAAGTAAGATAAATTTAAATAGACATAAATCTTAATTTATAAACTTGAATTTATGTTTCATACACAAAAATCATAGAAGCAAATAGTTGTTATGGATTGAAAAAAAGAATTGCACGGTCTTCCAATGAATGTATTAGTTGGTGATGAGGGAAACATAGCACGTGAATGTGTGTTGAATGACCATAAAGTTAGGGTTTTTTCTAGAAACCACTTCAATTCTGTCCTTTTCCCTTTGCCTCTTCTGTTCATCGGCATGTTAAGTTCTGTTTGGTCACGTAAAATCACTTCGGTCATTTCTGTCACCATGTTTCAAACTTCTCAAGATGTTTTTGGTCTCAGTTAATTACCCTTCTTTTCACCATGCCAAAATCACTTTTTAGACAAAGGTAGTTCAATATATTCTATTTTGCACTAAAAAAACAGTATATGATGTTTTTCTTTTAACATAAATTGCTGCAATTCACACTAAAAGGTGCATTGCATTCTTATTTTTATTCATATTCATACAAAATATATTTTAACACAAATTTTTATTAATATTTTAAAATAATATAAACATCATATTTTTATTGATTTATTATTTAATTATTATTATGTTGACATATTTTAAATTTAATTAAAAAATAATGCATACATTATATAATATTATAAACAATCTATATTAATATATCATTACTTTTGTACTATCAAGTTCAAAAATATTGATTTATTGAGTGTTTTTCGTAGCACTGGTAAGTTCCCGTTTCAAATATAAATCTCGTTTTACATGAACTTATTAGCAATAATAATTCAGAAATAATCCATGCATAAATTCTCCTCTATCATTACCTAATCTAATAAGTGATTTTTTGTGTTTTTTTCTTCTTTAAAATTTTTACATCAATAAAATATAAAACTAATTTATAATATATAAATAAAGTAATGTTTATCTTATAATCTAATTTTATGATAACAAATTAGATTTAAACTCAATTTTTAATATAATATCACATAATATTATTCGTAATTTATTTAGAAATGAATGCATTGCTACATTTAAAAATATTTTCTCTGTTTTTCTCATTATTTCCTCTGTTTTGATAGATTTACTGGCACGTTCAAATTAAGAATATCATAGATACACGAATGGTTAATATAATTTTTTCATATTTAGGAATCACACTTCATTTAAACTTAAAGAATATGGGTTAACATTTATATTTTTATAAAATTATCATAAATATTACAGGATTCACTTAAATATTATTTCATTTGAAATTGATTGAAATATTATCTTTTGTGCATGTTTATTTTATTCTCAATTATTTTTAGGAGATTTTGTATATAATTAAGTAAATACTTACGATGATGAATATAATGATTGATAGATAGGTGTGTTTTATTAATGTTTTTGTGTAAATGAATCTTAAATTTTCATGGAAATATATAATTGAAAAATTTATTTGAAGGTAAATTTAGATATTTAATTATATATAATTAGGTAAGATCTGTAAAAATAAACAGTAAATAGAACCATAATTGTATAAAAATACTAACATTGCAATTATTCTTGAAAAATATTGCAGTAACTAATCAATAAATTAGTATGAAATTGTTGTTTAATCATTGACACCGAAATCTGAAATGTAATCTTTTTTAGTTTATAAAATAATTAAAAATTTAAACTTTTCAATTCATCGTCCCGTGTAACCAGCATCAACAGTGTTGTATTTTATCTCATTTGATCCCCAAATGAACAAACTTTAAGGAGAAAGAAGCGAAAAAAGGTACTCCTTTTCCAAACCCAGATTTCAGTTTTTCAGATATTTACGTTTTTTCCATCAAATTAAGGTTTTTCCTTTTCATACACATAAAAATTTGCCCCCTTTTTATTGAAGGGAAATAATATGATGAGTTTTCCTCTTCATTTTAGCCTGAAAATTGAAAATCCAGTTATTTTTTTTCTGTTATTGCATTTTCTTCCTGACTGGACAAATGTTAGTTGAAGAAAAGGTTTGTCCTTCAAATTTGTTTTGGAATCTCATGTTTTGTTTTATAGGAGGTTCTCATGGTTGGGATTGTGGTGATTGAATAGCCAAGGTGTGAATTCGGGATTGTTAGCGTGCAATTGTGGAACTTGCAAAGGTTATTTGGAAGAACCTCAACATAGGCATTGGTGCTGTTGATTTTAGGAGTCCCTGAAATGTATAGGCCTGTGGCTACTCCAGATTCAGCCACATCCCGGGGTGGATTGCCAAATGATAGTGGGGACTCTGTTGTGAGTTTGGATCAAGTTCCAAGGTGGATTGATGCTGAACATTCCTTAGAGCATAACAACGGAGACTCAGCATTTTCTAGTTCATACTTTCCTGATCCCTTGACATTCAAGTCCGGGACAGAGAGCGGTGGCAGTGGTTCTGAGTCGAGGTTTCCTGTTAACCATGAAGTTAATTCGAAGATATACTTGTGGAGGGGTAACCCCTGGAACCTTGAGGTGGATGCTGTGGTAAATTCAACAAATGAGGTGAGTGAGTGTATGTGTGTTTAGTGATATAGTTTGATTTTTCTTTATATATTTGTGTAGTTTGGTTTAGCTTTTCTTGATTTGGTAATTGCAAAGTTATTTCATGTTATGTTATTGTCTTTGTTTTTACTGTAATTCAAGTTGTGCAAACAAAGCAAGAAAATAGGACCACCTGTTGAAGGAGTTTGCGATATTTACTTGTTTGTGTCACACTAGAAAACAATTGGCATTGAACATTTTGGATAAAATATAAATTTCTACTGCTGTTCTGATCGGTTTTCCTTTCTTCATTCTTTTATGATCATAATTCATTCTTTTATGATATTATGATCTGTAAGGACTCCTAGGGAACAGTTTGGACTGAAAAGAACACCAGTGGTTGTTTTATTATATAAAGCGATTGCTTTATTCGTGTGCATGTTCTCTCCAATTGAGAAAGTGCTATTGTTCTTCAAGCTCAATTTCTTTATTTGCATGCATCTCCTATTGGACACAGGCATTGATGATATTAGAATATCTATAAAATATCTCATACTGTCATTGTATTATTTGAAGTATTTTAGATTACTGTAAATGATTTCTTACAATTTATTTCCACCTTTTTTATAATATTTTGTTTGCTTAATTAACTAGAACTAGGAGCTTATTATATAATAAATCAGAGCTAATAGTTTGTCTAATGTATGACTTCATGTCCATCATGGGGTGCCTTTTGCCCCTTTTTGGTCACTGTTACCTCCAATCTTCAGACGCTGATCTCTCTTGTCAGATCAGACCTCCTTGTCCCTGATTAGCATTTGCCACCTTCCTGAGCGTTTAAATGTTCATTAGCAAGTTGGAAGCTGAATAAGCTTTAGCTTGAGAATATGTAGAAAATATTTGATAGTACCTTTATGGTATTTTAGAATATTGTACATGTTCTCGTAGTCTTAACGGTGTTTTCATATTTCAGGATTTGTTCCTTTATTTAACTAGAATTAGGATTTAGGAGTTCAATAATGTTATAATAGATACTAAATAGACTATTCTGTCTTTTGTATTCTCTCCTTTCCACTTTCCCTAATAATTTCAACATACAAGAAACCAATCTATAATTGCATAAATATTTCTGAGTCATTGAATTCTTAGTGGCACTTGCTTTCGGATGCTTGAGTGTAATTAAATTTTCACAATATTGAACCTTAAAAAGAATCTCTGGTAAATTTATTCAAATAATGTCAATAACGCAGGGTCTATATTTGAAATAAACTTGACAAAGACCAATTTTTATCGGCCTGTTACTCACTGTTCACTTGTTGCTGTCCTGTGTCTGTCATGTCATTGGAAATTGAGTCACATATAAGTTCTATGAATTCTCAAAAATTATGTTGCACCTTAGACTATTGTGATTATGTACATAATGATACTATGTAGCATGTCGGTACTGGACCTCCAGCAAATAACTTTGAGCTAATAGCATTATATTTCTTAGCTTGCTTTCATTTATTGTCTACAGGTCTTGGATGAAGCACACAGCAGCCCAGGATTGCATGCCGCAGCTGGACCTGGCCTTGCAGAAGAATGTGCAACTTTGGTATAGTTCTTATAATTTATAAATTGTTCTGCAATAATTTTGTCATGCACTCAATGTTATTTGAGCTCGTAAATTTAGTGATTATTATATTTTCTTTGGAATTTTTTATTTCTTGGGTGTGATAATATTTTGGTTGGGAGATTGACTCAAGATGGAAGCATTGTGTCATGATTATGTTTCAACAATCCATAAAATGACATGTCAGGAAGCAGCTTTCTGGAAATTGATAATTTAATTGATATCACACATCTCAATTATTGACAGGGTGGATGTCGAACAGGGATGGCTAAAGTAACAAATGCCTATGACCTTCCTGCAAGGTTTGTATATTGGCTCCCTCTTTTTCCTTTTTAAAGTCGAAAGTCAATGTATACATTTACCACATGGAAAGATGAATGCCACCATGCTTTTACAGTTTACTTTTTTGGTCTAATCTCTTGGAGAAAAGAAACTGAGAATATCTTTAAGTTAGTGCTGTTGCATTCTCTCATGCTACCTTTGATCCCTTTTGAATTTTGGTTGTATATTATGGATGGCATAAGTGATTCAGTGCATTTGTATAAGTGGACAGTGGCACGGATTTGGATATGTAAATTGTAGCCTATGCGATTGTGAGTGCATGTGTGTAAGTGGACATTGGCAAAAACATGTTTTCTCTTTTGTCATGCTACACAAATTATGTTAATGGGTTCTGCAACCTTGTTTCTGATCTGTATTTCATTCCATATGAAATTTAAATCATCAATTAATTTCCTGCAGGAAAGTTATCCATACAGTTGGGCCAAAGTATGCTTCAAAGTACCAAACTGCTGCCGAGAATGCTTTAAGCCATTGCTACCGTTCTTGCCTAGAACTTTTAGTTGAACATGGGCTTAAAAGGTTTTTGTTTCCTTGAAACAGTTTGTTTTCCATGTAGCTTTAAAGATCTGAGACTTACTTTTTTTGTTGGCACTTATCAATCAGTATTGCTATGGGATGTATTTATTCTGAGGCAAAGAACTATCCCCGTGAGCCAGCTGCGCATGTAGCTATAAGTGAGTTTTTTTTGCACATTTTACAGTTCATATGTTCATTATTGTGATATTTATTCTAACCAAATAAATTAAACAGGCTAACGCTGATAATGTTGTAGGAATTAAACTGACCTTCTTGTGGAGATAAATTACTTTATTGCTGTTCTATCCATACAGAGAATATCAGCCTTTAATGTGAAAAATGAAAAAAATAACAAGCTAACTTTATCTTAAGTAGAAAAAGTAAATCAATCATTGGTTGAAAGGGAGATGAAGAAGATAGAATGACAAAACACACTGTGGTGCATATCAGTTTACTTCTTTAGCGTTCCATCTTACTAACTAGTCTTAGATTATTGATTAAGGGGATGACAAGGTGAAAATTACGAAGAACTCTGGGGCTTGTATAGGTGCATCCTTTTGTGCAAAATTATACCATTTTATGTAGTTCCAAAACCCTCATTTCATTGTATAGACATAACGAATGATTGGTTTTAACTGTTTGTGATCTCTGATTATTATTATTATTAGGTTTCTACACTTTGTATTTTTGTATATCTTTGCTAAGGTGTTTGTATTCAGGAACTGTCCGGCGATTTCTTGAGAAGTACAAAGACAATATAACAGCTGTCATCTTTTGCACTACCAGCACAATTGACACTGAGATATATAAAAGGTAATTTGTTTTTCTGTTATTGACATATGCAGTGCTTTATTGAAATAAACTTGTCAAAAGTATATTTGTTTAATTTTCTTTTCTTTTCAAGTTTGGACTATCTGTTATCTATTCACTGTTACCTTTCATATAAAATCCATATAGGTTGCTTCCACTCTACTTTCCCCGGGATAAACAAGAGGAGTTGATGGCTTTGGCAAAGCTTCCTGCAGATGTTGGGGATGAGAATGGTGAGACTGTCATAGATGAGCGCAAAATCAGAATAAAACCATTGCCTAAAAAGATTGTTTCAAAGCCTGCTAAAGCTCCAGTTGATCTTCCTGTTAGTGATGTCGGTTCACTTCGCAGGTTAGTAAATTTTAATTTAGTGCAAGATGCTTGAATATACATCACCATACTAAGCACAGATTAATAGTAGATCTCACTGAATCTATTCTAAGACCCTATAAATTCACTTTTTGGTCTATCTATCAATATACTAGTTATGGGACACCATTATGATTTTTCTTGCCATTTGGAATGTGGGATGAATTTTTTTCTCTCTTCAAATGGTAATTGACAAATGAAACTATCATTTTAGTTGTTGTCATCCAGTCATTCTATCGATTGTCAGATTTGTTCTTAATTATCATCTCTAACGGTAATAATTTGGAATTGTTGAAATTGCTTGGTCTTAGGTATTGTTGTGGAGGGACAAGATACTTTGTACATATTCTATAATGTATTACATTGTGTTGATATTCTATGAAGCCTAAAGCACTGACGCATTATCCTAAGAGAAAACAAATGAGATAACAAAATATGGAAACCAATAGATTTGTTTTAACAAACATTTTTGTTTCGTAGATGTAAAGTAGGTAGAAGGAGTGGATTGTATAAATGTCAAGGACTAAAGTGAAAAATGCTAAATGTCAAGAATTATATTAAGAATGAAAGCAGATGCTAGATTAAAATATGATTTTGGTCAACAATCTAACTTTTCTGTTGCAATTTTGATGCTACTGTGCTTCATATTGCAACAGACACAACAATTTCTTCTTTAAATGCCCCTTCAGCTGAACTAAAATGTATGCTGAGAAATGAAAAAAATGGTCAAAACTTTTTCATATCCTCATATATTTTTGCCGTGCAATTCAAACAAGCACTTAAAAATCACTGTTCTTGTGGCTTTATGTCTGTTTTCCACAGTATTAATTGCCATAAGCTATATTTTCTTGGAGCTTTTTCATTGTATTCATCTAAATAGGCGTCATCCATTTTTATAACTTGTATAACTTTCCTGATTAATTTGGTGTTTACAGGACTACATCTTATTTAGATACATTTCTGGATCCTGCCTTCATGTCACTGATTAAGGACCCTGATGAAAGACGTCTGGAGCAATGGGAAAAAACTGTTCAAGCGCAGAGAGGCTGGAATTTTTCTAACTTGCTTGGATTTGGTGATATAGGTGGAGCTCCATTGTCTGCCGCCGAAGAATATTCTCTGCACTCTAGATATCTTTCAAAAGCAAAATCCTTAAATTTGTCCGAAATTGCAGAGATGAAAATTGTGTAAGTATCTATCTATTTCATTGTTTGAGTCATGCATACTTTCAGTCCTAAATTAGTCAGGGATATTTAACTGTCTAAGATTGTTATAAATATAAGATCCTAAGGGAGGGAAATTTAACTGTCTAAAATTCATTCTAATTCCTTTGTATTACTTCAACTTGCTATCTGAGCCAGGTTCTGATCTAGGGACCTATGGATTATGGGCCAACCACGCTTAAGCACTCAAACACTTGGAGAATCAACCCTAACTAGTTTTTAAGGGTGGTGAATCAAACACTTAAAATACTCCATTAAGGACCCCCCATATTACTCAATGTGGGTCTTGGGCACCTCATAACACCCAAGTCCCTATTAGAACCATATCCTAATTTAGAGCTCATTAGCATGAACTATAAATGCGGAACTTGTTGGAGATCTCATGTCAACTAGAGATTTAACCAAATTATAGTATAAAAGTGACTGCAAACTTCACATCGAAGGTTGAGTTAGGCCTAAATCTAGTCCATAAAAGAACTAGTAGCTAGTTCCTAGTACCATTCATTGTATGCTTGCTTAACAGTAGCAAGATTAATGAATTCAATTGATTGTTAGTAAAATTTCTAGGTTGAGAAATTTGTCATATGAACAAGTGATAAACTGAACATTGGGGTGCTAAATTCTTCAGTCCTTTTCGCTATGGCTTTTTCAACAACTAACTCGAAAATATATTTTCTGGTGATACAATACTAAGATACTCTTGCAATATTTATGATACAAATTTTATATTGTAGAGAGAAAAGAAAAATGTTTTCAGATTATATCTATTAGAAATCTCATACCGTCTAAAGATATGACAAAAATTATAATATATAAGTAAATGTAAACCTCATTTTACAAATTGATTTTACGAAGTTGAGTTAGGTTTACATTGCACTTTCTTAATAATATCTAATTCTTATAATATTTCAACCATAGATACAATAAATAACAGTTTTACGCTCTTTGACTTTTTCTGGCACTCTTGCATCTCTTAACAGATTTCATGCATGTGTTCAGGTTGGTATTTACTTTTAATTTCAGAAATATTTATGTTTTTCAGTTATCGTGGAGGGGTAGATAGTGAAGGTCGTCCTGTTATGGTTGTTGTCGGGGCCCACTTTTTGCTTAGATGTCTTGATCTCGAGCGATTTGTGCTTTATGTAGTGAAGGTGATTGAGTTATATCCTTCAGCTTGACATTGTACTGCTGACAATCATAAGTTTAGCTATTATAAGTTTAACTTCAATGTTGGGAAGTGTAATTTTCTTAATTTATCTTCATTTATGACTAATTTTTAATCCTTATCCTTTTGGTTTATGCTGTCAACTTTTTGAGTACACTAAATGTTGTGTATTAAATTTCAGGAGTTTGAGCCTATAATGCACAAACCATATACTATTGTATACTTTCACTCGGCTGCATCTCTGCAAGTGTAAGTGTTAAATGATTGAATTCTGGGATTTTCAGATTGGTCTATTTCTTGTGTTATAGATATGAAATTTGCTAGGGTTGTCTTTGAAAATATTTGGATGAGCTAACTGTATACCTTAATTGCTTAGCTAGTTGTTATATAATTTGTGAATTAGTTGATTGCACAGATAAAATATTCTATAGTATCTGAAACTCTTAAATTCACTTTCAAATAGAAAAAAGGGTATTGGAAATTCCATTGTCAATGTTGCAAAATGTGGCTGAACATTTTTGTTTCAGCTTGTATGGTATTTCCCAAAACCATGTTTTTCTTTATGCATTTCAGGAAGTTTTATTTAGCCTTGCTGTATTTTTATTTTATATCATTACAATATGTCTTGCTATTAATACTAGGAGTGTATATGTAGAAACAATCTCATAATCACAGGGATTTGTTCCCTAGAAGAATAAGTCTTTCCTAGTTCCTAAAATTGTCAGCAGGTTCTTGTATATATAAATCTGATGTATCTCGTAAAATGATATATCACAAATTATTCCTAAACTTGAGAGTACTTAATTGGCAAAACAGCTAACATTGTATAAATAGCACTTTCTATTGATGCTGGAAACATTAGGTTGACCATTTTCCATTTGTGCCATGGTTTCCTTGTTACTTTATGTAGTCATGTACCGTTGTTGTGGTTGGTTCTGCCTTATTGTTGTGCCCGTTTAACATTAGTAAATATGGCTACATACTTCATTTAAATGTGGCAATCTTTTGATGTGTTGTACTGTATTTTAATGTATGTTCCTTTGTCAAGGGTGGATTTTTCTGATAAGTTTGAATTCATTATCTTATTATGGTAGCAGATTTGCATGTATGAGTAGTAGATTTTTTGTGAAAAAAAACTTAAGAGGGGCAAGGTGAAAGTAATTGGGGGAAGTTGTTCTATAGCTAATACAGCATGCCAATAAAGTGAACCATACTTTAATATAGAATATATAGGAAGACAATTGTTCTTTTGATGGTTGGTTAACAATTATGAAACTGTGTTTATGAATAAAGCTTATCATCAGTTTCTCAAGATTTGTATGCAATACTCAGTGGTGTGGTTTCCTGATGATCGCTTTTAACCTTTGTCCACCTTTTTTCACATAAATAGGCAACCGGACCTAGGTTGGATGAGAAGATTACAACAAATACTTGGGCGCAAGCACCAGCACAACCTGCATGTATGCATACAACACATCTTTTTCCTTAAATGTATTTCTGTTATGCCTTTGTAATTCTTGTGATGATCTCTCAATCTGATATGCACAGGCAATATACATCCTTCACCCAACTCTTGGACTAAAATTGACTGTTTACGCGCTTCAGTTGCTTGTCGATGGTGTGGTATGAATCAGTTTTATTAACAGACGTAAACCTTTTTAAGAACATCATTTACGTGTTATTAACATTGATGATTAACTTTTAGGTATGGAAGAAAGTGGTGTATGTTGATAGATTACTGCAGCTCTTCAGATACGTACCCCGTGAACAGTTGACCATCCCAGATTTCGTCTTCCAGTTGAGTCTTTATGTTTTCCTGTTTGCATATTTTAATACCGTAGAAGATTATAATATATAAGTAGATACAAATCTTATCTTTCTAATTCGGTCTTTTTGAATAGAATTAGGTTTAAATTTCACTTTCTTAAAAAGGTGCGCTAAGCAGTTATCCACTTACCTTGTGAAAGCAAAGGCAAACTGGTTTAGTTTTCAATAAATTTCAAACAATAAGAAACAGTGTTTGAAGAGTATGTTAAAAATTATTTTGGCTTCTTAAAATGTTACAAATTTTGTTGCTATCATATTTTGTTTGTTGTTATCTATTTCCTGGTAAATGTTGGTTAGATTACAGGTTCTAATTCATTCTTTACTCGTTTTCATAGGCATGACTTGGAAGTGAATGGAGGAAAAGGTCTCATTGTGGATCCTAGAACAAAATATGTCTATCACCGACCATGATCATGCCATCATCAGCTGATACAAGAGCTTAACTGAATGTAGTTTCTTCATTAGTTTTGCCATGCCATTATTCTCTTTGGCAAGAGGAAGAGGGTCTATATATGTGTATGGAAGACTTAGTTACTTTTTTTGAAGTACTGGCAAGTTTTTCTGTAAGTAAAATAATAGCATCGTCTTTCTTTGTAGTGCCGAACCAAGTTGTGAATATAATTTTAAGGTGATTTTGATCTCTGTTGAAGCTGGCTTCTTACGTTTATGGTAACACTGTTGCCTCTATCCCCCTTGACCAATATTGTTAAAATTACTTGATCAACACCTTTGAAATCTGTATTACAAAGCCCTCTAATTTTGAGCAACCGATACACTCCGTAACAATACCACAATATCGTAATAGGTCCAAAAGATTTCAGTCACCAACCTTCTCAATCCCAAAAGCCTCAAAATCCTTCCACATTTCTACCAGGCTACTGATAATTTCAATCATAACTTGGATATTAATTAGTATGGAGTTATACATTAGTTCATCCATACGAAGAAGTAGAAATAAAAATGTTGGCTAGAAAAATAAATTCAAAGAACGGTTGAGAAATTAATGTAGCAACGGAAAAAGACTTGCAACCACAATAATTCACTAAGGAGGCATTGCTTCCAGCCTAAAAGCAAAGGATACTGATATATTTAACATTCACTTCATATAATAATTAAATATGGTTTTGATTTCTTAACTTTTAATTCTTTAAAAGTTTTGACCTAATTTAGACTCTCAATTTAGAAATGTATAGATCTATTTTTTTTATCAAATATTATTAAGTTTATTTGACGTTTTAAATATATTGAAAAAAGTTAAACATTGTAAAGAATTTAACTACTATCATGAAATGCATTTAAAATTTTAAATAAATTTAACAAAATTTGATTAATATAAATTGTAAAAATAAGAAACTAAATTAGTTTAATGTTTCGATTATGAACTAATTCTAATTTTCATTGAAAATTGAGAAATTAAAAATATATTTAACTTAGAAATTTTTTTGAAAGGAAACTGCACACAACAACATTTGTTCAAAAGTATTGATAAAACCAACTCTAAAAAAGGATAATCTCAGTCTAATTCATTAATGCGTGAAAGGAAAGTATGGTGAGATTGAAATTGTCAGGATTTTGTTCATAAAATATGTTATAGAGAATGAAAAAAGAAAAAGAAAATATTTAAACTAATTCTTAAGGTATATAAGACTATTAAATGTAGTAAAAATAATGAAAACTTTGTCATCATGTCAAGAAATTTACCTTTATTTATATATGCCCATTTAAATTTGGGTGAAAGAAGGAAGAAAAGATATACCGTTTGTGTATCCAAATTATCATTCAAATATTCCCTGTTGGTCGATGTTTGAACGTTAAAGGTTTACGCTATAAATATATTTAGCATGTGAATCACGTTACTATTGCAGAACGCCAACAAAAATTAGAAAATACGCTTATTTATTTGTGGTTTAATAACTTGTTTTTACACTTTCGAATTTTATTTTTAAATTTAGTTTCACAATTTCATTTTAGTTTTTTTTTTTAAATAATTAATTTGGTGGCTTGCGTTAAGAAACGGTATTGAGAAAATAGTCAAAATGTTGTTTCTTTATTTTGAACTTTGGTTGTCATAGTGAAAATTTGCTATGGTTTATATTGTACTAATATTAAAGACTTGGTTTTGGAGTAAATTAATTTGTAACATTTACACTCTTTTTGTTTTTGTCGAAAATGGAAATGAGTGGTTCATTTGTGTTTGCATTTGTTGATTTGAAGAAAGAAAGACAAAGGGTCATGGTTAATTTTACTATTTTGCCCTTGTTTTTTATTGGACGATGCAGTTCATTTGGTAAAATTAGTTTTATTTTTCTTCAAATATTTTGAAAAGAATTATTAAGTCAGTTCACACTGGAATCAATTTTCTTAAAATTTGAAACAGTATGGCTCTCAGTTACATTACATTTGACCAGTGTAATGATTCTATCTGCAAAATAGGAGTTGAAACAGTAGTAGATGTAGGCAAATTTGCACGGTGCTTCTCCAATATCAACATTAAAAATTGAAACATCGGACTCTATGAGATGAAGTAACTGCAAATCCACGGTGTCATGGGCAAAACCAAAAACAGACAGTTTAGGATTACATGCATGTTATGTTATGTTATCCTTATAAAAAGGAACTTTCTCTAACACCATGTATCATCAGCAAAAGAAAACACACTTGTTTTTGTTCAGTTGTTTCAAAAGAAATGGCAAACATTGGAACCTCATTCTCATTCTTCACATTGGCACTGTTGGCACTGGCAAGTGGTTCAAACGGTGGCAGCATTGCAATCTACTGGGGCCAGAATGGCAATGAAGGAACCTTAGCAGAGACATGTGCCACAGGGAACTATGAATATGCCATCTTGGCCTTTTTGCCAACATTTGGGAATGGCCAAACGCCAATGATAAACCTTGCTGGTCATTGTGACCCTTATAGTGATGGTTGCACCAAGTTGAGCTCAGACATCAAATCTTGCCAAGCCAAAGGCATAAAAGTGTTGCTGTCTTTGGGAGGAGGTGCTGGTAGCTACTCCCTTGCATCCCCTCAGGATGCAAGGCAAGTTGCCACTTACCTTTGGAACAATTTCTTGGGGGGAAGCTCTCCTTCTCGCCCTCTTGGACCTGCTGTTCTTGATGGCATTGACTTTGACATTGAAGGAGGATCAAACCTTTATTGGGATGATCTTGCAAGGTACCTCAAAGGGTACAGCAACAAGGGCAGAAAAGTGTACTTGACAGCAGCCCCTCAATGCCCCTTTCCTGATGCTTGGATAGGAAATGCCCTCAAAACAGGTACATCAAACAACATACAGTCTTCATATAATTTTACCTCCTATCATGTTACTTACAACAATACATACCAAATGAAGAAAAAACACAGATATTATAGTTTGGTGGAGATATTATATCTATTAGACATAGTGATTTTATAGTATATATAAATACAAATAAGTCAGTTTTGAAAAGTTGAATTAGGTTGAAAGATACGCTAATGAAATGTGTTGATTGTTGAACCTATTATTCATTATCAAACTGTAATCGGACCATATATATGTGAATCATTTAAATACTGAACTACTCTATGTAATGTATATTTCTCTTTCTCACATGTCAAATAACATAAGGTGTATGCCTATAATTTTTGCAGGTCTTTTTGACAATGTTTGGGTCCAATTCTACAACAATCCTCCTTGCCAATTCTCTAGTGAGATTACGAACCTTGAAGATGCATGGAAGCAGTGGTCTTCTGATATTCCAGCCAACAAGATCTTCTTGGGGCTACCAGCTTCCCCTGCTGCTGCTGGAAGTGGATTCATTGATGTGGATGATCTTACTTCCAAAGTGCTTCCAGCAATTAAGGACTCTTCCAAATATGGGGGTGTTATGCTCTGGTCTAGGTACTATGATGGCCAGAGTGGATACAGCTCCTCCATCAAGAGCCATGTCTAAAATATAAATCTGTCTGAGTTTTTATTCATATTATGTGTATGTAACGTGTAACATTTGATATTGTACTGAGGGTGTGTGATCAATATATATATCATTACATGTGCTCTGAACAAGTTCTTAGCATAATAGAAATCAACCAGAAAGTCACAATTGAATATGAAGATAACAGAAATCAATGCTAACAGTATACACATCCCAATAAGAATTTGTACTTGGTGCTGCTACTGTTGCACTTCCAAATAATTTTTTGGCACACTAGTTGCATTCACAAATAATCTCATTTTCACTGTTATTTATTAAAAGATGCCACACTTAAACATTCAAAATCATTTATATTTTTTTCCCTTCTATATATATTGTGTTTAATTATCGGTATTTTATTTTAACTTCACAGTTTGTTTAAATTAGCAGCATTTACAAAGTAAATGTAATTCTCTTTCAGCATAAAACTCAAACTAAAATTTTTACTTCCTTCTAAAAAATATTCTCATCTGAGAAATCAAAACTATAATATCTGAATTAACTACCCTTAATTACCATAATTAACGAATACCGTTTTAACTACCAGCTAACCATATTTTTATATTTTTTTGAGATGAGAGCACAAAAAAGTATAATAAAAAGTTCATTCTCATAAAAAACAAAAGTAACAGAAATTTTCAAGATACTCGTTGCATTTTTTTGAAACTTTTTATGTATATTCTTCGTTTTATTATTTGCTGCTCATGTGACTGTGAGGTCATCGTCGCAGTTTGAAATCGTTCCTACTTCCTTTTCTGCACCACTCTTTGGTAATTTTTTCTGTTCATTTCCCGGGAAACCTATCTCTAATTTTCTGGAAAGCAAAACTCCTGTCCTCATGGTACCTTCTAGTTGTTTCCAGCTTCCATTTCTAATCCTCCATTTTCTCGCAATACCCAGATAAGAAACGGTTTAGTTGAAGTCCAATTTAACCAAAGTTTCACTAATTTTGACGTAAAAGTGATTTTTTTCTCTGCTTTTTCAATGGGGTGTGCATATTGAATTATTGAGTTTGCATAGCATGGTTTTGAAGCTGCATAATTTTCCCTCTCGTAATTTCATTAATGCAGGAACGTTCTCCCGAAGAAAGGGTGAATTTTAGTTTCTATTTTACCTCTTTGGGAGAGGAACAATTTCTTTTTGGCTTCCCCCCAAAATGGTGCAAAGTTTGTCGTTGAGTACTCTAGCTACTTGCGGAAAGATCCCAAATCAAAAGATACCATCTTGGATGACACCCTTTGAGCCATTCAACAGATCCCAAATTACCTCTGCCTCTGGCAGACACTTGGTTTGTTGTAACCATTCTGTGCACAGCTTTTTCTTGATTGGGTACCCTTATGTTTCAAGGCACGGTGGTTTTAAGGCTAAAGCAGCATGGATGTTTAGAGGGGGAGAGCAAGGGTTGGATGCAAGTTCAGAGCACAGTGAGAGTGCTAATGAGGATATCTTGATGTTCTTCTTTCAGCTAGACCTGGCCACAAGAGTACAGGTCTGGCTGCTTTTACTCCTCTTTAAGAAGTTTAGTGGATTAGGGGTTATTTCAAATTTATGGATTTTTAATGCTTCATTTCTTTGGAACTTTTGAATATCAGTATGCTTTGAATATGGAGCAGTATGACGCTGCACAGCAACTGAGAAACAAACTTACTGAGGTTAGATAAATTGCCACTTATCCTATTCTATATGGGTATAACGA